CTAACTTCGGAGCAGCTCTGGGCTGCAGTGCTGTCTACAAGTTCTTGGGAGTAGTTTCATCAAACTGAATGGGGTTCATTTTCAAGCATGCTCAGGTAGGATTAGAGCGGCAGAGTGTGGTGTTGTGGGTTGCATTTACACCTCTGTCTCCATATATTACAGATGGCAGCATCCTTTCTGTCTCTTTCAAGCAGGAGGCAATACTGTAACAATTGGGTAGAGGAGAGGGAGGTGACGGCTGCTTTCATGGCCCCAACCAGCCATAGAGAAATAGAGGGACGTTTGGGGTTCAGGGATGCTGAAAGGAAAACACACTCTGCAGCCAGGCATTCTTTGCCAGTGCTGGTATGCCCTCCCAAGTGGCGACGAGCGACAGAAGATAGACCTGCTTTGCTTTAAATAATAAGAATGACACAGAGCAAGTTTCCCAACTTCCCTGCCCCAAAATGTCAGAATTAAAGCTGCAATCCTATAGAGAAATAAAAACTCACTCAGTTGAGTGGGACTTACCCCTAAGTAAAGGTGCACAGAATGCAGCTACATATTGTACGCTTTTACATGCTTTCATACCGTACATATTAATAATACTTTAACACTGGCCATCATGAGGGCTAGTATCAAGCAACACAGGCTTTGTTTGACTGTGGGCAACTGCCTTTTGAAAGCTCCCCCATGTCAGTAATTCCCCACATGCCAGAAACTAGGAAGGTTTAGCATGGCAGATCAATTCTAGGGAGCTGCAGGTTCTCCCACGCTGGAGACATTCAAGAGGGCAGTTGGACAGACATCTGGCAAGGCTGCTTTAACTGGGGTCCTGCACTGGCCGGGTGTTGGACTCGATGGCCTGACAGGCCCCTTCCAACTGCACTCAGCCATGGCTCTATGAGTCTGCGGAAGTATTCCAGGCTAGCCTTTTCTCTGACGTGCCAGTTCTGTGCACAAAGTTCGAAAACAAATCCCTTGACAGTTTGAAGAGAACAGTTCCTGCATCTGATGAAGAATTCTGTGGACCACAAAAGTTTATGCCAGAAGAAATGCGTTAGGCTTTAAGGTGCCACAAGTCCCTTTGATGTTTTTGCTATAACACACGAACACAAGTACTTCTCTGGATATGGTTCAGGCAGATGTAATTTGTAGCCATGTGTGTCTGAACCACAAACTCCAGTACAAGCCAGGATAATTAACTATGGTTTGAAGTTGGTTTGTTTGGACTAACCACAGGTTTGGGCTTAACCGTGCCTCTTGAAAAAGGAGGCAAAACTTCTCAGCACCTTGAAGCTGCACTGGAGAAGAGATTGGGGAGTCAACAGGTGCAAAGCCATGCTCATGCATGCAATGTTAATCTGTAACCTAACTTCAGACATGAATGCAGTTGGCCTGATCTGGACTAAGATATCTCCCTATCCCATCTAGCATCTGCAGAAATGCGTCTAGCAGAAATTGCCATCTAGTGGCAAATAGCTTATATATCTCTGTACCTCCGTTTTGCCTCGACGTGTGGGGAAGAGAAAACATTGTAATTGGAACCATATCTAGCAAAATCCCACCCAATTAAATCAACAGCATTTTTGACATAGTTGTATCTATAAAGGAAACCAAGCTGAACTTTGCAACAGTTCAGCATCGGCCTGCCTAATCCCCCTTTGCCTCGCCAAGACGGTGCCTTTCCCTCAGACAAGTGCTGCACCCTTTCTGCTCTCGCTCATTTCATTAAAACCTTGGAACGTGAGTGGAGCTGCTCCCCAGCCTCTCTTTGGCTGCCTGCAGCAAACCCCTCTGTGACAACAGACCACTGGTCGTCCGATCTGTCACCAGCGCCAGAAACGCACCCCAGGTACATGAGGCTGCCATCGCCTTCAGGTTCATTTTCTCCTGCTATTCATGTGAACGCCTGGCTTGCTGCTGAAGCAACTGAGAGCAGAGGCATTTCTGGTGCCGGTTCCCATTCTGGCCAATGTGCAGTTTCAGCCCCAGAAGCCAGCTGAAACCGGGTACGTGGCATCGCTGTTATACCCAGTCATCACTTGCCAAAATGGGGATGGGGATTTCCTTCTTGTCATGCCCCCACCACAAACCTGCCATAAATTCCTGTGGTGTAAAATAGCATTCCTCATCTTGGACTGCAATTCCCAGCATCCCGACCCTTGTCCATTCTCACTGGGGACCAAAATCCTTGTGCTGCAAGGGGTTAAATAAGGCCACCCTCCCTAAAATGCTACGGTGGGAAGAAGGGTCCAATCTTTAAGAGCATCGACAAGTAGGAAAGCTGAGAGGGGATGTTTTAGTCTGAGATAAATGGTCCTGATGCCATCCCACTGCGAGCACCAAACAGGGATGCTTTTGCAGGACAGTTCGTTTTCATAGATCTTAATTCCATACAAGGGCCTCAGAGCACTAAACATTGTTGCCTTGATCAAGCTGACACTCAAACGAAGTGACCCCAATCTGGATGAAGGATGGCCACAAACAGTGATTCATTTCTAGGACAAGAGACGCTGGCACCCGATTCCATGCAAAACAAACGCCTCAGCATTTGGAAGCCCAAACACGCTCTTCCACCCCGATGTGGCACGCACACGCTGCATCTGCTGAGAGATGCCTCTTCTTTCTTCCTACGCAAGAAGATTTATTGATTGATGTATTAACTGTGCTGCACTTCATCAAAAGAGATCGAGACAGTGAGCAGTAAATATACCAAACAAGAATGCTACAATCACCAAATAACAATAACGTTCCAGCACAAGTCATCCATAAAGGTTGGCAAAACCCACTAAATTAGATCAACCAATGAAAACTTGCCAGGCAAAGAGAACATTTTGCCAGTGGCACCTCTGGAAAGAAGGTGTCCCACAAACAGGCTGCCACAACTGAGAAAACTTTTCCTCCTGTTGTTCTACAATGGATAAAAGAAGCATGCTAAGAAGAAAGATTCTGAAGCACAGACCAACAGCTGTAGAAAGGGACTTTCCTTCAGTGCTGGTGTCCAGGGTTTTGTTCTGGCATTAAACACAGATGTCGGGTACCAAACAAAGTCCCAGCTAAGTAGTGAGGCACTGTGTACTTCATTCCTTGCAATACTTCTTCATGTACAATCAAGAATCACTGAGAATCAGCCTTCCCCAGTGCGCTGCCTTCCAGAAGTTTCAGACTACATCTTCCAGGATTCTTGACACAGTGGCACTCTGTCACTCTGGAGGGCACCAACTTGGGAAGCCGTGCTTTACGCATTCTTCAGGAAGACCTAGGAACCACCAAAGTAACAGCCACTGTTCCCTACGGTGGATGTGCAGTCACCTGGCCCCAAACCCAGAAGGCACACAGTGCCCCTTTCAGGTGGACGGGCAAGCACGGCGAGGGGGCTTTTGTCTGATCATGGGACATGTTGATTGACTGCAGCATGATGCGCATGCCTGAATGAGCATTTCCCAATCAAACACAGATAAAACTTGCAACGGATCTGGAATACACACAATGCGACGCTTCACAGTTTGGTGGAGAACCATCCACCACAGTAACCACAGGGTGCAAGATCTGGAGCTACCTGTGAGCAAAACTCTTCTGTGTGTGGTCTTACCACAACTCTATGACCACAGAAGTAACCACAGGCAAGCTTAAAAGACGTACCCAAGTGGCTGCTTCCTCCTGCAAGAGCAGTGCCACTGGAAGCAACATTGCTTTGGGAAAAAAGGAGGGATCAGCGTGGAACCCTGGAATTTGCTGCCTTGGAGAAGGCTCTGTGAGGGAAAATCCAGAGATGCAGAGAAGCAAAGGCACAAAGCACCGCTGCATTTCTGTAGGAGGGGTATCGGGTAGAGAACCTGTGAGGCCGGGCTCTGAGTACCTATGGGTGGCTGTGTTTCCATCGGCAAAACGCGCAAAGGAAAAAAAAGCGGAGTCCGACCAGCTCATTACCCATCCTGACATGTGGTCAGCCTGCTCTACCCACAGCAGCGATGTGAAGAGGGGACTGTGAATCTGTCTGAGCATGGAGGTCCGTATATGTATACATATGCATTATTAGTAGTGCTCCAAAGATCAAATGAAGGACTCTCTGATCATTACTGTGTAACTGTATATTTTCCCTTTCCTTTTTCTTGATAGCAAATAAAAATTATAAATAAAAAAGAACAGTGTGGCAATATCTAGTGACAAGGCAACTACAACCCCCATCTTCCCCAGCCACCACTGGCTAGGAATTGGTGGGAGCTGTATTCCAACACATCTGGCAGCCACCAGGCTGGGGACCTTGCTTTTGTCCCTTTTGGAGCTTAGGAGGCTGCCTTAAATGAGGTCAGTATGTCTCCCTCTCGTGCTCAATATTGCCTTCTCTGACGGGCAGCTGCTCTCTAGGATCTTCATGTAGAGGAAGGTCTTCCCCCAAACACCTGATCCTATTACCTGGGGACCCCAGAAGCTGAACCAGGATCTCTGTCCAGCTGAGCATGCAGCACCTCTGACTCTGAGGTGGGTGCAAGGAAGTGTCCATCAGCCCCAAGTATTGGCACTCATGGAAAGAAAACAGGAGAAGCCGAAACAGAGAGCAAGGAGAGGAGGAGAAACACACAGCCCATTTCCGCACTCTTTTTCTCCAGCATCTCCCTGAGAGTGTATATTCTGGCCCAGTGGGCATGCCTTTAAGCCAGACCAAAAACTCCAGGAGCTGAAAACAAAGGCCACAGTTTTTAAGCAGCGCTGACCAAGATCAACAACATGCAAGCAGCTGATGAGGTCTGCAAAGCGCCAATCCCACCCAGGGTTTTCCTTAATCGAAATCCTCCCCATCCTCAGCTAACACCTCCGGGATGAGCTGGCCTGGCTGGCAAACCTGAAATGCCCCCCTTCTTGCCAGGGATGGCCATCAAGTTACGGCGGGGAGCGCTATGCTCCGCGGATGGAGGCGCGGAGGTGGAGTGCTGGGGGCCCGGCCGAGCCGAGCCTCAGCAAAGCGGGGGCAAAGCGAGCCACTGGAAGGCGCCCGGCGATCGATCAGCTGTGCTTACCTTGCAGCCACAGCAGCTCTTGCAAGAGGAGGAGAGCCAGGGCAGCCCTGGGGCTTGGGAGCGCTTTCTGGCGCGGCAGAGACATATCCTTCCCCAGCATGCCCAGAACCGCAAACAGACGGTGCCCTCTTGCGCTACAGGCGCGCTCAGAAAGTTCGCAGGCTTGCTGGCTGGGGTGGAGAGACAGACAGGCGTCCACGGTTTCCTCACTCCTCGCTCTGCGCGCGGCTGGAAAAGTTTTCTCTCTGCCTGCTTCCCTTGGGATGCGAATTGGCGTGCTTGGTTCCTTTGAATCCCTTTCCTATCTAAGATGGGGTTTATTGCGGAGGTGGGGAGGTTAAATTTGATAGGGCAAGGACAGATCTCACAAGCTGGCTTTAAAGGGAGCGGGGAGGGCACAGGAGGGGAGCACCAGCCCTCCAGAGAAAAAGGGGAAGGGAGAGAAAAGTTTGCGACGGAGTCCCAGCAGCCTCCCTCCAGGCAACCGGGCTGCTACCGCAGCTGCTACCGGGGAGCGACAGACCTCCCAGAGGTTCTGCAGCTGCAGCGCTCCCTGACCTGCTCCCGCGTGGCCAGCAAGGCTGCAGGTGCCACGCTCCGCTCATCGGGAGCTGAAACTTGCCGCAGCTTTTCAAGGGGTGGGGAGGGTGGTGGGTGTGTGGGGAGAGAGTGGGAGGGAGGGGGGGAGGGAGAGGAATAAGCAAAGCAGGAAAAGCATCTACTGCCCAGGAATTCAGGAGGACCTCCTGATGCAAAACCACAAAGGCAGCCAGAGGCGTCCCGCTCTGCTCTGCGCTAACTTCCCTCGAACTTGGCTGGGGCAGAAGGGAGCGTGGGTGGATTCTTACCCCCTCCGCCCACTTGCACAGGGGCTTTTGCTGGGGTGCTGGATGCAAGCTTCGAATTCTTGAAAGAACAAGGAAGGGGCGACGCGACGTCAGCCGCCTGAAGCCAGGGCGAGCGAGGGATGGGGCTGGTGGTGCCTTCCTCCGTGTCGCGGCTTCATCTTCCTCCGTGGTGGTTGCTTTCTGGGGCTCTGGCTGGCAACGTGTGCCCTCGGGCCCCACACTGAGCATAGAGACACACGCATTCAAACGAGTGTACAGCGGGAGAGGGAGCACACACCTTCCGTCAGGTTTGGCTTCCAAGCAGCAGGTGCTCAAAAGAGAACACCAAACAGCCCCTCCAGAGCAGGAGGTGAGAGGCGTGTGGCTAGACTTGGAGAAAGGGTCAGAGGAACCGCTCCTTCAGAGAAGGGTCTCGGGCAACCTCTTTTTTCCTTACTCAAAAGTGGATGCAGCGTAGCTAATCTGGATGCAAGCCCTGCAGTAAGGAGCGTTGAACACTCTGCCCTCAGCCCCCCAACACGTAGGAGACCTAACCTGATTCTGGGGCCCGTGCTTGCAACCAGTGTGGTGTGGGACTGGGACTCAGGCGACCTGGGTTCGAGTCCCCGCTCGGCCATGGAGCCCACTGGGTGACTTTGGGGCAGTCACGGACTCTCAGCCCAGCCTACCTCACAGGGTTGTTGTTGTGGGGATAAGATGGAGGGGGAGAATGATGCAAGCTGCCTTGAGCCCTTTGTAGGAAAAAGGCAGGATATAAATCGAAAAATAAATAAAATAAAATAAAAATGATTTTAAAAAGGATATAAAATGGGAGGAGCATGGGGAATTCAGCCATAAAGCCCACTAGGTGAGCTTTGATCTCTCTCAATCTCTCTCCCTCTCTCGTTCAGCCAAACCTACCTCATAGGGTTATTGTAAGGATGCCATGAAGAGGACAGGCCTGGTCTCGCCAGATGGGTCTGGGAAATGTCACTTCCAGCCAGGGTGGACCAGCCTTTCCCACCTGGTGTCCTGGTATGATGGGTGCTGTAGTCCAACACAGCTGGAGTCCTTCAATAAGTTTAAAGAAATGGTGAAAATCTACAAAAAGGAACGAAATGTTAGTATCAGAAATGTATGCATGGACAGAATGCAAGTGGGAGATGAGGGGAAACTAAAAAATAAAGATAACGTTTTGTGCATCAAAGTATAAGAGCCTGGAAATGCAAAATGAGGGGAAAATACTCTAACATGCAACCTAATTTTGACAAGTGAGACACGAGTCTACAGAGGGTGGAGAAGGTTCTTCCTCCTCTGTGCCACAATGTTTCCAGGTGATCTTATTTGTGTCTCCAAACTTTGAAAGATCTATGAGGCCATAATTAGGGATGAAAGAAGGGCCTGCTCATCATTGCCAGCAGAACTGCAGAAGGAGAAGGTGAGAGGGTGCTTCCGTCCCTGATGGCAGCTCTGCTTTTCTTGCACCATTTTGCTTTGCCCTCGGAACGCATGTGGAAGGCTTGCCTGGAATTTGGAAGGATAACCGGGAAGCTAAAGCATGGTTGAGGAACAAGGTTTGGGTCGATCAGGCAAAGGTTCATTGCGGGCACTAGTGTGGCAACTCAGGTTGAGACAGCCTGGGCCAGGCAACTTGCCCGATCTAAGACAGATGTGCCCTATAGGGATGAAGGGTTGTGAGAGATCTGGTTGGCTTTCATAGTGGCAGATCGGTTGGTCTGACGTGCTATGCAGGAGTTGATGCAGTCGTTTGCCAGGGCCGATCCATCTCCACCAGACACCTTTCTGGGCTTCTGAGGCGAGTGGGACACTGGCCAAGGGGCCCCTCTGCTTTTTCAGGATCAGCCTCTTTGGCGACGGAGTAGCTACAAGGAATGGTGGTGAGGCCCTGAAGGACCACCAAAGCTGGAGCATCGCACCGGGCACGTCTCGCCCAAGACCTCCACACACACCAGACCTGGGCTGATACAGATGCAAACTTCTGATGCAAAGCTGTTATTCTAAATCCTGGAGATGCCAATTCTTCTTGTTCTTTTTTCCTCCCTCTCCTCCTTCCATTCTGTTAAGGACACAATGTTTAGACAAAATCCCAGCCCTGGTGGGTGTTGTAGGACTATTTTCCATCTGAATAGCTACAGTTAAGAATAGCTATATGTAGTTAAACTCCAGCTAGCTGCAGTTATCCATGCTCCGGCAACCTCTTGTTTGGATGATGGCAATGACGTATACATGGGGCTGCCTTTGAAAATGATCCAGAAATGTCAACTGATCCAAAACAAGGCAGCAAGATTGTTAATGGGAACTGGCTCATGAAAGCACCTTACACCAGTCCTCTCCCAGCTTCACTGGCCACTGGTTGAAGTTTGGGTCCAATGCTGAGCTACATTTCAGTGGTCCTTCCAGTCTCTGAAGGGTGGTTGTATTTGCAAATAAGGGTTGATCTTTGGTAGCTGGAAAAGCTGAGGCAATGCATCAGACATATGGAATTGTGGGTGCCAGGGGGGTGTGGGGGGTGTTAAGACAAGAGGACAGCTTTGAGATGACCAGAAGGCTTCTCCAGTGCACATCAGGAATGCATTGGCTGTGGTCCTAAAGGCGGCATACAATTAATTTTAGCTCATATTTGTTGTTATTGTGCTGTCGTTATGTGTCGTCAAGTTGTCTCCCACTTATGGCAAAGCCATGAATGAAAGCATTCCAGAACATCCAGTCCTTGACAGCTCTCCTCAGCTCTTGCAAATTCCAGGCTGTGGCTTCCTTCATGGAACCGTTCTATCTCGTAGCTGCTCTTCCTCTTCCTTTTCCGCTGTCAACATTCCCTTGCATAATTGTCTTCTCCAGTGAGCCTAGCTGGATATTTAGATTGCATAAATTCCATGTGTCCATTCCAGTGTCTGTACAAATCTAGGATTCAGAATCGGCCACCTCTGAGATACTGGTGAAGCTGGAAATAATGATACTGTATCTGTATTGTTGAAAAAACACATGCAATAATAACACAACAGCAAATGCTATAATCTCCTGGCATTTGAAGTTGAGCAAGCATAAAAAGCTCTTAACACAACATGTTAAACTGAAAGGGTTGCTGTTGATTGAATGTTGTGTCAACTTTTTTTTTTTTGCTATCCTGGTTATTAAAAGAGTCCCCACTTCCTAGGGGGTAATTTTTTGCAGGTGGACTTTCTGTGCCTCCAATTTTAAGTGTAGGTACAAGCCTAAATATAACACATAACAATTATGTAAAATGAAATAGCTAGCAAAATTACAAAGAATGAATAAAAACTTGGAAGTCCTGACATCAATGCAGAAGAGATCTGGGGGAAATGAGCAGCTGAGAAGCTGCGGAGAAGCCATCTTGTGTTATCTCCAACTGCAGATGTGACCCCTTCTGAAATCCTCAGAGCCCACATGGAGTTTTACGGTTGCTTCCCCAGGGACTGCTTTTGTAAGAACTTGAGCCGTATTCACAGCTACAGGAAGTCTTAAAAGGAATTCTGGCTACAGGAAGTCTCTGACTTAGTTCTGAGGCAGCGCCTTGGCGCGTCGAAGACCACTGAGGAAGTTGAAAGGTGGAATTTCCAATGGGAAAATAGTCAAGCCCAAGAGACCTGGTGCATTCCATGCCTTCTTCTGAAGTGGCAAACCCGTGCAGCTCTTTTGGCAAGCCTCACGTAAAGGGATGCCCACGAATTTTTCCGAGGGGGTGTGATTCTAATTCACGCACCCAGCATGCACTTCTGCTACAGACGCATGCATTATCCTGCATATTTGCATATGCTTTGTTTCCACAGGTTGCATTTCCTGTTGTTCAGAAGCCCACATGGAAGAAAAACCTGAGAATCTGATGACACTAATGGAGAAGAGCAGAAGAGTTAGATGTCCCCTTCCTTGAACAGTTAGTCGCCCTTCTCTGAACATTTTCCAACTCTTCAGTGCCCTTCTGCAGACGCAGTGACTGGAACTGTGCACCATATTCTAACTGTGCTCACACCAAAGATTTGTTGCGTAGGGGGAGTATGATACTGGCAGTTCTTTTTCACTTCCTAACGTGGGGTTTGTCTTCACAGCACAGCAGCTGCATTTTGGGCCAATGCTTTCACTGATCTGCCCATTCCCTCTCATCTGTTGTCACTAGTGTCTGCTTTAGTCCCTTAGACTCCCTGCCTGAATACAATGGTTCAAGAAGAGGTATTTGTTCTGCATCCTCTGCTGGGAAGACAGAGCAAAATAACTTGCCTGTCTCTGTGCAATCTCTTTTCCTCCTTTAGGACTCCTTTAATTCCACGATCATCCAGTGGTCCAACTGCCTCTCTAACTGGTTTCTTTTTTCTGATATATTTACAGACTTATTTATGGTTGGCCTTGATGTTATTAGCAATGTGCTCCTCAAAATGTTTCTTTGCTTCTCTTCTTGGCTACTTGCATCTCTCTTAAGCAAGCTTGTGCTCTCTTGCTTTCTTGATTTAGGCACAATTTCCCTTGAAGGAAACCTTAATCCCTCTAATAGCTTCTTTAACTCTGCTAGTTAGCCATACATCCTAACTGTGCCTTTATTATTGTGGTTTTGAGCCATCTCCAAGCATTTTGAAGGGATTTAGCCCTCTTGACTCCCTCCTCCTCCTCCTCCTCCTCCACCACCACCAGTTCCCTCATTTCAGAGAACTGGTGCCTTGACCAATTGTTTTAGCACAGAGGCATTTGGGACTTTAGTCATTATCTCTCTGCCAGAACTAGAACATACATGGCTTCCAACATGTGTTGGTACTTGAAGTCACCCATTATTACGGCGCT